TCCTTCCAATATGGCGACCGAAAAATCTTTGTTGGTAAAGTCGGTAGCGCCTTAACGAATCTGCAAATTTCAATGAAACTTGGCTAAAGTCTTCTCCTCGATGATCTTTATTTAATTTTATCTACATAAAGTTAAAGTAAAGTTACATTTCCGAATAACTCAAGAAATATACAATTTTTTGTTTATATTGTATATGTTTATTTAAAAGTTTACGGATTTTATTTTTTTAAAAATAAAAATTCGTTGACATCGGACAATTTGGAGCAAAAATATATTTTATATGTTCTACTGCAGTTTTTATATTTTTTGTTTTTGTTTTTGATTTTTGACAGTTTCACATCAATTGTTGCAATATTGTCTATTTGTTTCTTTAACAAATTATCTATGATAAAAAAGAAAATTACAAAGGCTAATGTTAGGAATCCCTTTTTATTTATTTCCCTTAATGTTACACGTAAAGTAATCTTAATGTTAAATTGTTTGAAAATAATAAACTATTGTGTAATAATATGCAGCGTTTTTTACATTTAAGTAAGCTTACAATTAAGGCGAATAATTCCAAAACAATCCAACTTAATTTTTATTAAATGTTATCTGTTATAATTAAAAGTTTAATCGTGAGGTACTTCTAATTGAAAAAGAATTAGAATGGGAAAATGGAGTTTGTTGGTTTTGGAATTTTTCGCCTCATATGTATGGGTGATTGAAAAATGAACTAAACTAATACTTAAACCTCTTTATAAATATGAAGATAAGTTACTATATTTTTAAATATAATATGTATTCAAATTATTTTGTAAATTCGAACGGTGTACCCATGATCCGCCGTGTAATTGTAATATGCGGAGGGCGAGGGGTGGGGGGGGGGGTGGCGAAGGGCGGAAAAAGGGTTGGTAACCATAGATACCTGTTGCCTAGGGATTAATGTTTTGTTGATATGGTGTTCCATTGTTTGGGTTCGATATCTCCCTCCCATTGTCTTCTTTGTCTGCTTCCTCCCTGTATCGGCTATCGTTCGGCTCCTGCTTCCAGGATACGGGTCGCCTACCGCTAAATGGGGCTTTTATTAAACATGTCATTCTTTATATATAATACTTAATAGCTATTATTAAAGCGAACATATAACTCACAGAAGAGATGTAAAGTTATCAGGATATAAGTGAATAAATCCATACCATAAAGCGATGAGTCTCTATCAAACAGATGAACAGTTGACCTGCCAAACTTGCATGTTAAAAATTCATGGCTTTAAGGCATAGTCGGATCTACCGAGGGAAGGAAGAGAGCTTTTGGGCTGAAGAAATACGTCGTAATCACCAATATTTTTTTCTTTCTAGAGAAAATTATATTTATTCATTTTCTTTTTCTGTTGGGGAATTCGTTTAGGATAGCTAGCGAAGCAGTAGTTCTTTGATGAATCGTGATGTCTCCATTAAAATGTAGGCGCTGTTCTGTGAAAGGCTTTCTTATTATTTACTCTTTTTTTTTTCTTTCGTTCCTCCTTTTTACTCAATTATTTCCTCATTTTTCGAAGGAAGTTCCCAAACTAGATTATTTTTCTTTTTTTTTTAGTTAGTCGTCTCTCGTTTTGGTACTTCCGTTACAAAAATAATATCCTAGGAAAAGATACGGTACCATACCGCCCCAAGGATATCATAAACCTCTGGCTTTGATAGTTAAATTTGTATTATACTTTTGTGTGTAAATTAATCACATAATTAGATGTATGTCATTAACACAGGAACTTAACTGGAAAAACAACAAAAGGGGATCGGGGAGTTGTTTCTTTATGTCGTATATGATACAGGATGTTCTGTATACAGGATATCTGAAGTTATCAGATATGAAATAGTTTAGAGTTTGTGTCCCGGTGCCGTTGGAGCTCTAGCATTAATTCCTCGCCCTCTTTCTCCGGTAAAACCCTCGTATAGCCTAAAAGGCGAGGTGAGGTTGGCAAAAAAAAAAAAAAAAAAAAAAAATAGAAGGAAATACAGGATGTCTCAATTCTTAATGGGCAAACTCTGTGAGGATGATTCTAGACAAAATGTTCAACAAAATGGTTCATTTGATGCACGGGTCGATTCAGAATGGAAAAGGAGTTAAGAGCAATTTTGTGGCTTTCTTAAGGCCATCGTTTTTATTGAATTAAGAAGGAATCGCTCAAAAACTGTTCAAAATAATTAAATTCTGAGTATATATATTATAAGCACACGTCCATCGTAAAGTAGCCAAATTAGAGTAGGAACTTGCAGGTAGTCCAATACGGCCGCTATACAGAAAGGATATCTAAAAAGTGACTGAGTAGAATGAGTGACTCAGTTGAATGAGTCTCAAACGCTAAATAAATCTCATAAGCAGTAACCGAGCTGCTCCATGTCAAGTTTATGTTTTTATAAAATATGAGAGCGGGAAAAAAATATAGAAAAAAAAAAGGAATGATACTGTATTCAATGACAGGTTGTAAGTTGTGTCAGAATATAAACGGGAGCAACAATTAAAATTCACAAAATGCCACGGGGAGCCCTACGTTATTTTTATTGAACACTACGTCAATATAACCGAGGCAACTGGTAGCTATTCGCGTCGCTCTTTATCGACAAATAAAAATTGAATTAAAAGTTTTGGCGTCCGTAAAGTTGATGATGACATTTATAAAGATATCAATTTGAATTATTCCAGTCTTAAAAACGTTTCATAGCTCTTTACATCTTAATCTCTCTTCTTTTTTTTTCTCAAACGATTATATAGTTTTTACGATTCTCATTTCTTTTTTTTTTACTTATATAATTTTTTTTCCATCTTCCCTAACTGTACAATTACGCTGGAACTTTGTATGTATTCCGTGAAACTGTAATTTTATGAATATTTATGCATGTAACAAGTCAAGTCTTTCGGTTTTGCATCGTAATAATGTTGACAGGTTTATATAAAAAGAAAACACACTTCCGTCATACCTGATCTCCTTGACGGCGTTGCGGAGGGAGGGGAGAGGATCTTGATTAAAGAAACGTTTTGCACGAGTTTCCCATTTAACAAAAATGAATTTAATTATGGCCTGATGTTGTGAGATAAATCATGAACTCTGATTCTCGAAAAAATTCTTGACTTATCTTTTCTTTTTTTTCTTTTTTATTATAAAAACAATAAAAAGAATGCCGAACACGGCCCGCTCGGGAAGACGACGAGATGGGAGATCACAGATAGGAAGACCCAGGTGTCACGAGACTCCTCGTAGCAGTTTTACATCTCTCACCGAATGAATAATGGAGGTTTCTTAACTGGATATAAACTTCTTGGGACTTTTTGTAATGAACCTAAATCCGAAAAATGATATCCATTAGAACGAGCATACACGATTTCGAAATCGGTTTCGATTGTAATTGGCGACCTGTGATTAGTTGTTGTCAAAAATAAGGGGTTTTCTTGTATTTATATAGATGTGTTTGGTTGTATTATATGTTGATGTATATATTTATTATTTCTTTTTTTTTTTTTGTTCAGAACTTTTACACCATTTGGTCGTTCCAAAGAAGATTTTACTTTCCGATATTATATTCCCTTGTTTGTTATTTCTTCTTCGGACAACCGTTTTAATCTCATTATTCCATTTTATGGATTTTTTTCCCTTATGTTCTCGTTTTATCCAAAAATATTATTCTGTTGGTGGAATGCTTAAGACAACCGGTTTATATTATATTATCTTTGTTTTGTTTTTTTTTGGTTGGTTCTCTAGACTTTGCAGATGTTTAGGCGCGCGATGTGGTCATTTTACAGATAATATTGCCTGAGGGAGTAGAGGGGGTCACCCAACTTCACGTCGCTACGGACTTCATATTCAATCTGGCAGTGTTTTTCTTCTGGAACCAAACCTCAGAGAGAGAACCCACATCCTGGAAAACTACTTTGTTATTCCAGATTAAAGAACTTGGGTAGGGTCATCTCTCAGTCATGGTTTGTGTAAGTTTTCACCAGTAGACTGACGAGCCTCACCCGAGGAGAGAAAATCTCAGAGGACATGGTTTTCCTCGATGAATGGTCAGCTAATTTGGTCGGTCATCGATCCAAGCACTTATCACGCTTGACGTTGCTTAACTTTCATTACCTGTTGCAAGTGCTTTGGTCCGTTTATACAGTTGACTTTCGATAATTCGAAGTCTAAGGAATATCTACAGGAAAAATCTACAGTTTTTATTATATTTTTGGAAATATGCATGAGCTTACATACATTTTATATGTATATATATAGCCTCATGTATTATAAAATATTACTAGAAACATTTCGAATTGTAATGGGGGGAGTGAGTGGGCTAGTTCGAATTATTCTTATTAGAAAAAGGATTTCGAGTTATTCAGTTTATCAAAATACAATTTTTTTTCTCGATTTATCACAGTTAACAGTTGAAGAGTTTGAATTATCGGGAGTGGACTTTAGGTATATGTATAGAATGGTCTGATATACACAAATTGGTGACTTGTTTCAAAAACTCCTTTTTGATTTCAGAATTTTGTTTTTGTCACGCATCTTTGTTTCCGACCTTTCTTGCACAGATTGTTTGTTTTTTTTTTATTTATTCATTAAGTTCGTTATGAAAGATCTTGTTTTTCGAACTCGTTGAATACTTAAGAAGTTACAAATAAGCCTCAGAGTTTATCGTGTAAACTTTTGTAGATTGTTTTAATATACCATTATACAGTAACAGTAATATTAGTTATAATACCGTTTTAGTCGTATGCTATCCATCTTATTAGTTTGTCGGTACAATACTTATTTTAGTATTCTACCTAATTCAACTAATTCGTACTACAATCTTATGTTCTTCGGTAACGAATCGGTATTTGGCTTATTGTGCCCTTAAAACGCTAATGATTCTCTATGAAATTATATTTTTATAGATTTAATAGAGCGACAAACCGCCGCCAGCGGTCGCCAAATCGTTTGACAGGCGGACCGTGCGGCCGGGCGTAGCAATTAGATTTTACAGGAGGTACACAAAAGGCCGATGATAGCCCTGGCTAGCTGGCTGGAAGGAGTTCATTTCAGGGGCGGCTGGTCAAAGTGTTCGCGGGGCGGAATGATGGCCATAAAATCAACTTCACAGCTATTTAGGACGCTTCATTTAACTCTGATACCAGCTGGTCCAGGTAGTACTGCTTTGGTTCCTGGCTGTGTCTCTCCTCATGGTTTGTCATTGATCTCGATGAATACTATAACATTAATTGAAGGCGATCATAAATAGTATTAATTACATAGATGAATGTTATTTCCCTCCATAAGGATATGAATAGGAGCTGCACGAAATGTCTTACCTTGAAAATAACGTAAAACTGTTCCGTTAGGACGAGGTTTAAAAAGAATTTCACAATAAAGGGAAAAAACGAACTCAATGACATGAGTACTGTTACCAATACTTTTCTACTTGGAATGTAACCATAACAGTAATACTGATAAAATCAATTAATCGAATGGGTGAGTGTAGAAATCATTACTTCTGTCAAAAAAATGTGAAAAATCGTTTTTCAATAAAAAGAAGCTTAGAAAGGCAAGATGCGTATTGAGTGCAAAAACCACGTTAGTCTGTATTTTCGTAAATACATGACTTCTTTTTCGATAGTTGAGCGCAGAAATAGTCTGTGACTGACCTGGTTTCTGCACCCACCGCTGGATCGCATGACCGGCAGAGATGGGTATATTTATATTCATTTATTTATTTAGACATATAATATTCTGTCACAGGGACAATAATTATATTGATAAATGAACACATTCACACCGTATATACATAAAAGAAATAAAATTAACAAAAGTAAAATAATAACTAAATAATAATAAATAAAAACTATATACAATAAAAAAATAAAATAACCTAAATATAAGTAAATTAAAAACATAAAAATACAATCATACATATGATATATATATATACGATCAGGCGGGGAACCCAAATCCCCACGCTACTCTCTCAACCTCCTCACCGGTGTTAAAGCCGGTGGAGTTTGAGCGAGAGCGCTTTAGCCACATACACTCATGTCTTGAGTGGAAAATCTGGCCATTGCCAGAACTCCAAAATAAATACTATAAAAGATCTCTGGGCCACCTCCGCTTCAACCTTCGAGGAGGATTGTAGGGATGAGTGGAACTAGATAGGGATTGGGCTAGGGGATTTGGATGATTGATAAGGTTCTGATGGAATTTTGAAAATTTTTCAGGGATAAGGTCAAGGACAAATGGGATATTAAGGTCATGATGTAGGGTTTTGTTGGTTACATAGAATGGAGCATCGACTATTGTTCGGAGGACTTTGGATTGAAAGGATTGGATGCGTCTGATGTTAGAGAATTTTGCTGTCCCCCAAAGTTAAAGTCCGTAGGTCCAAATGGGTTTCAGGATTGTCTTGTAGATCCAGTAATTTTGCTGTCAATTGAAAGTTGAGATTTTCTGGTCCAGAAAATCTCAGCGACCAGAAAATTTATATTCAAAAATATAAATACGCATACCATTTATATTTATGGTACTTATGAATATAAATATAAGTATATTTATATTCATATTCATAAAAAGAAACATGAATACAAATGATACGTATTCTCGGTTGTAAATATAAATACGGCCCTATTCACGATTGTAAAAGTGAATACGGCAGTTTGACGTTTATCAAAATGAATACGCTTAAATTTACAGAAGTTAATAGAAACATTTCCACACAACCTTCTTAATGAATACTCTTATTTATTAAAAAAATATATTTACTGTATATAACATTTTATTTTTATATAAAGTATTATATTATTCGCTTTACAATATGTTATGTTAATTATCACTCATAATGTTTGTACGTAATATAAATTTCCAAGCCTTTTTTTGTTTTTTCTTTCTCATAAAAAAATTTGAAATTTGTGACTGTCGGTTTCTGTACTCACCGATTAAATTGTTTAAGGACCCACCTCATGACCAGTAATTATAAAATAATTTCTGGGAGAAAGGAATAGGGGATACTCGGATGGAGTATTCCAATTACTGGAAGCCCCTGGACAAAAGCTACGAGAGCTGGAAGATGGCTGCCAGCGGGGGGTGCCAGTGGGGGGGCGCCCAGCGGGGGGTCCGGCCTTAAAGACTTACTTACTCCTAACTATGACAAACTGTTCTGCCTTCCCTTTCTCTATATCTCTCTCTCTTTTGTTTGTTTTAGTTTATTCGTCGGAGTCGAACCTTTTAGCCAGTTAAGGGGGCTTCGTAATGATGTTTCTCTTTAATAATTTTTATATTTTTAATTAACAATTTGTTAGGAAGGGGGTAGAAGCCAAGGAAGGTTATAGATATCGCTGGCCTCATGGCGGCCCCTTTTGAACACCCATGTCGACTAGGGGAAAATATATTCTGTCTGAAATTAATTACTATACCTCATTTTATATATATATCTTTATTATAACCTACTTGTATTGATTAGAATTGGTTTTTATAAAAAATGGATGAAGAAAAATAGCTTAATACACAGTGGGTGTAAGGCTTATATTGAGTTGACGTGTGTTCTAGTTTTTATTAATTAAAAGAGTATTATCATTAGTGTTGCCCAAAATCGGTCTTGGTCTTGCACTTTGTAAGACCACCTAACTTTTGCAAGACCAAGACCAGGACTGGTAAAAAAAAAATCGATTTTTTGAATAAAAATTAGGCAAAGCAGTTACTAATACTTGACAGTGTTACCTACTATAAGTAAATGATTGCTATAAGTAATATACTTCTTCATTTAACTCTTCTAATTTTTCATTAGGGCTTGATTAGCTTTCTCCTATCTAAAAAAAATACAGTAATATCTCTATAGTAATAACCTAATAAGTAACTGCGAGACTCTTGCGCATGACCAAGAACATGACAAACACTGAGTTTGCAAGACCAAGACTCGTCTCAGTCTCGTATTTTGGCAACACTAAATATCATAGTTAAAAATAAATAATTGGAGGAAGTTAATAGACTGTTCTACATATCATGGGTGATAAATATTCAGGACGCAGTCATTATAAAGTTTTTATTAGTGCCGACGTTTCAACACAAACATGTAAGTCATCATTATATAGGTATTCGAATACCTAGTACTTGTGTAGTACTCGAATACTTAGTAGTACTTGAGTACCTTCAGTACTCGAAACTGATGACCCACATGTTTGGGTTGAAACGTTGGCACTAATAAAAACTTTATAATGACTGCGTCCTGAATATTTATCACCCATTGAAAAACAATAAATGTAGATGTTTATTTTCTGATTTCATCTCTAAATAGTCATTTGCGTTAAGTATCGTGTTTATACTCTGTTTTTACATATTTTGTTTAAATATGCCGATGTATGTCGTTTCATCGTCTTTCATTATTTTTGAAGTGAAAACTTATTTATGCATGCTTAGCACTTTATTTTTGGGATATTGAATGTTACATGGCCGAACCACGTTCTAACTTTCATTCGGGTATGATCGGCTCGAGTCGACTATTTTTTTCATTTGGATTAAAATTTCATTCTCTTTGTAATCAGCTATGTTTCAACATTGTTAAGAAACGAAACAATAACGATTGTTTTGAATATTTGGACTAAAATATCTCAAAATTTAAATACCATGGAGAATGCAGAACCCAATTTCCTTAAGTCAATAAAGATATTTTAAATTATCCGTAAAACTTATAAGTGTTTATGTTTATTCTCCTAGAAAAATATAATACGTTGGTAGTAAACTTTGTTTTATATAGACTAGAGGTAATTTTAAACTTAAGAATATACCTTTCATTACTTCTATCCATGTAATATCTATTGATAAAAAAAAAACATAAAAAAAAACAATGTCAGCATAAAAATTATCAACCGTTCAAAGAAATTGAGATTAAACGATTATAAATAAATTTATTTATTTATAGAGGATCGCTTCTTGTCTCGACTTCCGAACAATAGACCTGAGGATGTTGACGTTTTGGTCGAAGCGTCGGCTTACCTAATAAATTTATTGTTTATTCTTGCTCTGTTCTTAAAATTTTTAAATATATCTTATTAAGTGTGTCGTTTAAATGATTAACCTCATTTACAGTAAATGAATCAAGTAAAAAAGAATAATAAAAATAAGCAACTAGACTCAATAACCTGAGAGCCTAGCATTGACGACTGCAACAGGCGTAGGATAACAATTGGAGGAGAAGAGGTAGAGCAATAAATATCCCACAGTCTGCTAATTATCCATCTAATGAACTTTCGGATCCTCCGCTTTATTGCGCATTTATTTATTTATTGCAACCTGATGACCAATTAAAAATAAATTAAAACCGAGAGCAATAAAGGGAGTCGATAAAATGAAAGGGGCCATCAAGAGGAGCGGCGAATAGCTCTTCATCACAGGGCGCAGGTAGGGCTAATTTTTTATAGGTTTTATTGGATATTTATTTGTTTTATGGCCGTCTTTCTTTATAACCAGGCATACTTTATAAATGGGGGGGTAGTCTAAAATTAATTGGCGGATGCAGTTATGAACAATAATTGTATTTAATATTTGAACTAAATTAGTTATATTCCTACTATCGTTTCAATAGCCCTTCAAAATAAATGGCAGCAAGTCAAGTCATGTTAGCTTTTCTCTGAGGAAAATTTCGTGGCCTGCTGTGACAATAGACAATAAGCCAGTTCCCTGAAAAACTCATGTATGGTATCTAGGACTATACTTGGACAAAAAACCTGGAACATACACAGCAAATTAAAAAAACAATAACTGACCATACGATACAAACAACTGTCAGCTCTCTTAGACTACAGATCTCTAATCAACTTACAAAACAAACGACTAATCTGCACCACCATACTAAGACCTATTTGGACATACCGAGCAGATTATTAAGTCACGTCCTCACAAACAAAATACATATCTTACTATACACAAAGACATGAACGTACCAACAGTAAAATCCTACGTACACAACATTTCATTCTTGTACTCTCAATCATCCAAACCCACCCGTCATGTCTCTGCCTTCCTCCCTGTTACCTGGTGAGCTTAAACAACCACTGAAAAGGCATGGTGATCATAGTCACCTAGAGAGTCAGGCAGTCTCCTACTGACAATAGCAACACATTTGCTTGATGCGTTGCAACGCACTGGCAAATATAATAAAAAAAAGTAAAAATAAAAAATAAAAATATATTGTGGTTATTCCAAAAATTTTAGTTGGGGTTGTTGATCGATACGAGCCTCAGAATAAATATAAATAACATGATACCGAAATAAAAACAGATAGTATAATAAAGAAATTGATTTCCATGACAATGGCTTTTCTTATAAAAGAACCAGCCGACTCAATATTGAAGCTGTCAGTCAGGGAAGTCAAGTGGAATAAATGCGTTTCAAAAAGAGGAAGCTAAGGAGAAATATGAAATATAAAACGGGAGTGTACTCCTAAAACATCATTACACTCCTTTAAAGGCAGTTTTAAAACCTATACTACTAAACTAATTAAATATATACTATATATATATATATACATATATATATATATATATATATATATATATATATATATATATATA